TCCAACCCATCTTCAAAAGGGTTGTGTCTCCACACCAAAAGTTTTATAAGGTGGGGACTAACACCCCCAGAACCCCCCACCCAGAGTGTGGGTGGGGGAATTCTGGGAGTTGAAGTCCACATCTTAAAGCTGTTGAGGTTGAGAAACACTGCCTTAGAGCATATGAGTTGAAGTCCACACACTTCAAGCGGCCAAGGTTGAGGAACCCTGCTCTAGAGCTTCTTCCAGTACTTGACAGAAGACTCAGAACTTGGCCAGATTATAACCTTTACGGCAGGCAGGAATGAACCCACCGACAAAAGAGTTGATTGCCCACCGCGGTACAAAGCCATTCAAAGATTGTATACATCCATACTTTAATGTATAAACGCTAAGCTTCTCCACCCCTCCCCCACCCAATTGATGGATATTTACTGGGACTTTTAAGACCTGAGATAGGTTTGCCTATTGACATTCTCTAGTTCCTGCCTTTCCAACTTTCAGCCACTCCACCGAGTCTTGATTTTAAGCCTTGGGATATGGGATTGACTTAATTCATTTCTCCAAGGTCCTACCTGCTTTGTGTTATGGCTCCTCCCCTTAAACCTTATAGTGCTGCCCCCCCCAAAAGAGAAAGATGAAAGGAGAAAGCAAGAGTGGGTCTCCTACGAAAAAGGATTGCTGACTCCTGCTGTGGTGGCATTAACAAAGAAGCAGGAAGGGTCACTGGAAAGCAGAACTACTTATTTCCCAGAAATATCCAAGAGCAGACCTGAAAAACAAGTATGGATAATGAAGCATTGTGTTCTTTTATAGTGCAAGGTTTCTTACCTTTAAGATAATCTCTGAGTACTAGCTAGATTGTCTCCTTTTTTTCCTGCAGTCGATGGCTGGCCTGAGCGACAGAGGGCATCGTTGAGATCTGCCAGAGAGACTTACTTCCTGGCTCCAGGTAAACCTGATGAGAGCGGACACGGAGCAGAGCAGCGGGACGGAAATGAAAACGAGATGGGAATGGACCGGTTGGTGGGCTCACAAGGGGGTTTCCAAGCGGCTAATGAATCCCCCTTCCTCAACACCGCGGGGAAATATGACCCAGAGGGCCTCAGCCAAAGTTCCCACCTTGTTGCGTGCAACAACACTGACCCAGAGGAGAAACATTACAAGTGTTGGCATTGCAGCCAGACCTTCAGCAGCAGCTCCGATCTCTTGACCCACGAG